AGAGAGAGAGAGAGAGAGAGAGAGAGAGAGAGAGAGAGAGAGAGAGAGAGAGAGAGAGAGAGAGATCTAAAACGCCAATTATTGGTTGTTGATCGGAAAACTATTGATGCAAACACAGACTTAGGGGAGGGGGGAGAGAAGAGAGGGATCACAGTTGTCATGGCAGCGGCAGACAGTGACCATCCCTACCGTGTGATGCGGCGCTTCAGGAGCAGCAGTCCCTTTTGTACAAAATTGATCATGATGCTGGTCTTACTGGGTACTTTAAAGTTTAAAGTTTAAAGTTTATACCGAATATGTGCAAAATTGCAAATATGTGCAAAATTGCAAATATGTGCAAACCTGCAAGATATCCCTGGATGCATGAAGCTAGTCTTCCGTGAGCTCAGATTAGTAGAATACCCGGATGAGAAACAGTGTAGGGGTTGCAGTTTAATCACTAGTACCTCCGCCGTTGCGGGAAAAATAGAAAGACCTCGGGTGGGCCGCCGATGGGAGGCTGAAACCAAACGACGGCTGCCAATGAAATTTATCAACGGCGGCCATCGTTGGGCCCAGCCCCCGACTTCTTAGAAGTTTGGGAAAACTGCCAGTTTCCCTATTTCCCCAACACTGGTGGACGTACTACTTGCTACTGGTTTAAGCAAGGAGGCACACATTAATGGTGTAGTCTGTCTTCACAGTGCCCTCCCTGTAGCACAATGAGGTCATTTCATTTTCATTTGGCTTTTGCAAATTCCATGGCAGTGTGGGGTGGGGCTCATTGCAGTATGGGCAGTCTCTGCCAGACACTTATGGTCTCCAATTCTCCAATTGCTCCAGCAAGTGTTCTTCTGTAGACAGTTCACCGCCAACCAGGGGGGTTCAACCAAATGATTGGAGACAATGGAGAGCACATCATCATCTTCTTGTCTTTTTTTTCCTTTTTAAACCACCACTACCTTTCTCATATATGGGGGCGCAGGCCTGTGAATTCAAATTCGCCGGCCGGGGCTCCTGGCGGCGATTTTTTTTTGGATGAGGCTCAACTTGCGACTTCGCATCACAGTGAGAACTGTATATTGGTCCTTTAAGAAGACAAAGTTAGACCGCGTGTTATAACTTATAAGTTGTTATTGTAATCATGAAAAAACTTCAAAAAAGGATGGTCAAGCATCGAGGGTAGCCACAGCGCCGTATAGCCATGCTCCCTGGCAAATTCAAAGAATCAAAACACATTTCATCTGGCGCCAGTCCAGCTTTGCCGGGGGAAATGCGATGCAGGTCTTCTTGACGCTTGTGCCACACTGTGTATATTATATGCCTGTTTTGCGCATCGTCATCATTTCGAGGAGGGGGATAATTGGGCAGAAGTGAAGTGAGGAGTCAGATGCAGAAAGTGGAATCTTATCTGCCGCACTTGTACACAGGCTGGCAGCTACTTGTGAAAAAAATGCTGCACAGGGAGAAAGAAGGCAGGCTCATTCCAGTCTCACAGTCTCTGCCGGGCAGTTTCGCCCATCATTTGGAAGAGGGGAACAGTTGGGCAGAAGCCGAGTGGGGAGTCGGATGCAGAGAGTCGAAGCTGATCCTCCGCGCTTGTACACTGCGTGGCTGCTAGTCGTGAAAATGCTGCACAGGGAGAAAGAAGACTCATTCCAGTCTCACAGCCTCTTCCCGGCACTTCCGTCCCTAATAGCTCCAGTGGCTCTTCCCGGCCAGTCTTCCGGAGACAGATTGCCACCAAACAGGGGTTCATCAACTGACTGCACGGCGCATCGTCATCATGTGGAGGAGGGGAACAAATCGGCAGAAGTCAAGTGGGGGAGTCAGATGCAGGGAGCGGAAGCAAGCACTTGTACACAGGCTTGATGCTACCGTCTTCACCCGAATAGAGCACCCGGTCATTATAGCTGTAATTGCACACAAATACAGTTATAATGACCGGGCGTTCCATTCGGGCGAAGAGGGTAGTCATGAAAATGCGGCACCGGTGGCTGCACCACTTGTCTTCTACACACGCAGGCCCACAGCACTGGACAAATTATCCCCACACATTAGGACACCGCACTTCATATGTGCTGTTCCTGGCTCATGCATACTGTAAGCAAGCATGCAACCTTACAAAAAAAAAAAAAAAAAAAAAAAAAAAAAAAAAAAAAAAAAAAAAANCTGTTCCTGGCTCATGCATACTGTAAGCAAGCATGTAACCATTCAAAAAAAAAAAAAAAAAAAAAAAAAAAAAAAAAAAAAAAAAAAAAAAAAAAAAAAAAAAAAAAAAAAAAAAAAAAAAAAAAAAAAAGCAAGCACGAAACATCATCCCCAAATCGATCGATGTCGTTTAGAATGAAAAAATGAGTGCAAGGTTGGCCACAATATAAAGGGGGCGCTTCCGCATATGTGAAAGTGGGGGGCCAGGGCGGGGTTGGGGGGGGGGGGGGGGTTTGGGGGGAGGGGGCGGGACGAGAAATGAATTGATACTCACCAACCTGCATGTGGTGTGTATGTGTGGCTGCCTTTTTTTTTCCCATTGCCAGATAAAGTCCCAGTGAACAGAAACCCGTACGCGTTGCCGCTTTTGCAGTACATAAGGAAGGAGGTGCAATTGTCAGTCACTGAGTTCACATACATGCTGAGGACCCTCAGGATCCTATGCGAAGCACAGACGGTGGAAGAACCCAGAAGAGACTATAGTACGTTCTCTCGTTGTGTTTCAGACTTTCAGAAGTTTCAGTGTATTAACGTAGCAAAAAAAAATGCATGGTGTTGTGTTGTACTATGTTTTTTTTTTTGTTTTTTTTTTTTAATTTGGACCATTTCTCGATTTATTCGTGTCATCCTTGCGCAGGGGCCATGCTAATCTTCTCTGTATCGTTCCAATTTTAACGGATGTCCCGAAGGACAAGTGTTGTACTATGTTGGAGTAGTGGTTTAGTTGTTTTTTGTTTTGGTTTTAGCCTTTTAGGGTTTAGGGTTTGGTTCTGCTCGGGGTTGGTTTGTGGCAGTTAGTGTTTGTGTAGTGCTGGTGGCAGTGCTACATTCTTCAGCCGTATAAAGCGTACCGTCATTATAGCTGGATTTGGGGCACCTTTGAGTCTAGAGACAGTGATAATGACCGTACATTGTATTCGGGTGAAGAAGAAGGTAGTGTCGGTGTGAATCCTGGGCAGGGCTGGGTTGGGTCACGTCAATCACACTCGATTGCGTAGTGTTACATTGTGTGCTCTGTGTTGTTCTGTTGGTTACATGGTTGTTCGGTTAGGTTGGGTGGTTTTTTTTTTTTTTTTGTAAATAAAAAAAGCCCTTTCGCAAGTCCACTATCCTGGTGGTGGTAAGAGAACCGCTGGGATTGAGGCCTTGGCTGGTGGGTTGCTACATCTATTGGTGGGGAGCGACACCTGCTGGAAACCGGGTCCAGCGTCCCTTGGTACCATGTACCTGGGCTATGGTCATGAATCTTCCTGTCCGAGAGCTAGTTGTGTTGTGCTAGGTTGAGTATTGTGCTGTGTGTATTTCCGGGGTGTTGTTATGTGTTTGCGTTCTGTCGCATTGTGTTGCCTTGTGTTTGTCTTGTGGTGCGTTGTGGTGCGTTGTGGTGTGTGTGTGTGTGGGATGATGTAGTGTGGTGTGGCGTGGCATGGCATGGCATGGCATGGTGCGTTATGTTTTGTGGTGTGCTGTGTGTTGTGTTGTGCCGTGTTTGTGTTTTGTCGTGTCGTGTCGTATCGTGTCGTGTCTTGTGCTGTGCGATGTTGTGTTTTTTTTTGCACTGCATATTGCACTCTGTTGCGTTTGTGTTACATTGTGTTTGTGCTACATTGCGTTTTACGCTGTGCATCGGATCGGATGTTGTTGGGTGTGGTACTCTGTCTTGTGTGCTGTGGTGTGAGCTGTGTCTTGTGTCGCTTGTGCTTAGGTCGGGTCGTGTTGTGTTGTGTTTTGTTGCTTTGTGTGGTTGGGTGGGTGGTAGACAGAATTTTGTTGCATTGTGTGGGTTGGTTATACTTGGTATATGTTCCCTTATATTGCGTTGTGTTGCATTGCTTTGGGTTTGGTTAGGTTGCCTTGGGTTGGATCGGTGGGTGGTCTCGGGTTGGGTTGAGTTGTACCTGATCGCGTTGGGATCACGTCAGGTTGCGTTGAAATGAACATCAGTCATGCATTCAAACAGACATGTTCAAACACACAAAGAAGCAGCATACGCAAGGTATACCACACTCAAGACAAGACGAAGAAGAACCGAGCTCAGGTATAATTCGAAAGATATACAATGAGTACAGCGATGTCAGGCGAAAGGACCCAACACCGTGTTTCTGCCGGTCGCCTGTCCAGCTTCATCAGGTTGCGTTGGACTGCCGCGGGTTGTATTGGGTTATGCTGGGATGGTTTGCGCAGAAGCACAGAAGTGCAGATGAATCAGATGATGCACTTGGACATCCACAATGTCCAAGTGAAAAACACTCCAAAAGGGCTACTTTTGTGCTTTTCCGAACCTAATGGGCTGCTATGTACTCTCATACCAGATCAGTGATCAGTGATCAGTGATCACTGCAAAAAAAAGTTAAAAAACTCTGTTATTCTCTCTTCTTCTCTGGATGAAATCTGCAATTGGTCATTCCATCCAAACTTTATGACGGAATGGGACTGCAAGGGAACAGAAAAGGGATCTCTTTTTTTTTTTTTTTTTTTTTTTTTTTTTTTTTTTTTTTTAAACACATGCTGGGAATGAGGCCCACCAGTGTCCCTTATGAAAAAAATGTACAGAACAATTTGAGATACCGGGGCCATTACCCGGCTTCGGCTAAGAATAACAGGGATATTCATGAACAACTGCTGAAAATTTTTGAAAGTCTTCTTAACAATCAGGAAATTCTGCAGAAATTCTACAGAAAATTCATGTTTCTTTTTTTTTTTTTCCAGAAAATTCATGCTAAGAAGCTCGAAAAATGGGAATAACGCCGTCGCTACCCAACCATCGCCCATCCACTCGCTCTGCGGCAAAATGGAAAGGGAGGGGAAACATAATTGAGATTGGGTGCACTGGGATGAAAAAAAAAAAAGGCAATATTGGAAACAAATTCAACCACAGTAAAACCATGGTCAAGAAATGGAACATGGTCAAGAAATGGATCTGGTCCTTTTCTTGACCATGGTTTTACTGTGGTTGAATTTGTGGAACTGTTACAGGAACGAAACGCAATGAAAGAAGGGGTGTGGGGGGGGGAATTGGGAAAAAAAAAACAAAAAATAAAAAAACACTGAGATGGAGAGTCCCGACACATATACGGAAAGAATTTAAAGAATTTAAAGAATTGAGATTTCATGATTTCACTGCCTGCCTAACTCCTTTGGTGGGATGGGAAATTGGTGCACACTCTGCACTATGCTTTCAGCAACTGCTGAATTTGCGGCCTCGTAGAGGCGACCAATGCTGCCAGGGGCTGCCGTGGCCGTAGCTAGGGGAAGTGTAATGTGGGTATCTCTATGGTATTTCATGACTACCATGGTCACCCGAATAGAACGTCTGGTCATTATAGTTGTATTTGGTGCATCTTTCAGTCTACATACAGCGATAATGACCGGGCGTTCTATTTGGGTGACAACAGTAGGGGAACCCTAGCGTGGCTCTGTCTATGTAATTTAAATTTTACTAATTTCATGACTTGCTGATTGAAAAGGAACCGGACTGAAGTTCCCAGAATAGAATGGAGCCAGGACCATAAGGTCCCTTGTTTTTTTTCTTTTTTTTTTTCTTTTTGGGGGGGGGGGGGGGGGGGGGGGGGGGGAGGAGGGAGGGAGGGCGGAGAATGAATTGAGATTTCACCGCATGCNGCGGCAAAATGGAAAGGGAGGGGAAACATAATTGAGATTGGGTGCACTGGGATGAAAAAAAAAAAAGGCAATATTGGAAACAAATTCAACCACAGTAAAACCATGGTCAAGAAATGGAACATGGTCAAGAAATGGATCTGGTCCTTTTCTTGACCATGGTTTTACTGTGGTTGAATTTGTGGAACTGTTACAGGAACGAAACGCAATGAAAGAAGGGGTGTGGGGGGGGGAATTGGGAAAAAAAAAACAAAAAATAAAAAAACACTGAGATGGAGAGTCCCGACACATATACGGAAAGAATTTAAAGAATTTAAAGAATTGAGATTTCATGATTTCACTGCCTGCCTAACTCCTTTGGTGGGATGGGAAATTGGTGCACACTCTGCACTATGCTTTCAGCAACTGCTGAATTTGCGGCCTCGTAGAGGCGACCAATGCTGCCAGGGGCTGCCGTGGCCGTAGCTAGGGGAAGTGTAATGTGGGTATCTCTATGGTATTTCATGACTACCATGGTCACCCGAATAGAACGTCTGGTCATTATAGTTGTATTTGGTGCATCTTTCAGTCTACATACAGCGATAATGACCGGGCGTTCTATTTGGGTGACAACAGTAGGGGAACCCTAGCGTGGCTCTGTCTATGTAATTTAAATTTTACTAATTTCATGGATCAGAAACAGCAAAATAACCGGACTAACATATGGAGAATAGAATGAGGCAAAAGCTATAAGGTCCCTTTTTTTTTTTCTTTTTTTTTTTCTTTTTGGGGGGGGGGGGGGGGGGGGAGGGGAGGAGGAGGGAGGGAGGGCGGAGAATGAATTGAGATTTCACCGCATGCGTAACTCCTTCGGCAGGAAGTGCTGCACTATTCTTTCCCCTTTTACTCAAGAATGCTGCAGTTGGAGAGAATTTATAGGAAGGGGAACCTCAGTACCCGAACTTTTTTTTTTTTCCCACCCGGTTAAAGCCCTCTTGCAAGACCTCTATCCCAGCGGCGGTAAGAGAGCCACCAGGATTGAGGCTTCGGGTGTTGGGCTGCTCCATCTATTGGTGGTGAGCGGCACCTGCTGGAAACCGGGTCCAGCGTACCTTAACTTTTCTTATGTGTGTGTGCGTGAGCAAAGTATGGGTATCGTAGAACTAATCCCGAAATAAGGGCATGAAAACTTGTTGGGCACTGAAAATAATAAAATATGCAGTTCCTACTTTCTTCCCCCGGAATAGAACGTACGGTCATTTCTGCCGCATCTGGACTAAAAGCGGAGCCAAATACGGCTATAATCACCGTACGATCGATTCAGGGGACGACGGTAGCTGGATGGAAATCTGAATGGAGAATGGATTACTGCGGACATTCGTTGCGTATGTTCCTTTCGGCAAACCGTTTCCTTATAACTGCCATTTCGTCAAAAAAATGGATATTTTTTTATTTTTTGAACAAAATTGAAACTGAGTTTTTTGGCCGAAACTCGTCCAAATTTGCTGCTCCTGAGGGTCCGGCGTTCTTAAGATGCTGGACCCCCTGCCTGCGGTCCCCCCTGGATGTATCTGGTCTTAAGCTAAGTCCATATACATTCACGCCGGACCCTCAGGAGCACAACAAATTTGGGCGAGTTTTTGGCCAAAAAACTCGGTTTCAATTTCGTTCAAAAAATTAAAAATGTCCATTTTGAAGAAATGGCAGTTCTATTGACTGTTAGGGCCCTAGGGGTGCTCATGCTTATAGTGTTGTCATATAGCGGATTTGGCTCAGCTTTTAGTCCAGATGCATGCAGCAGGGGTCCTCATGATTTACTCCTCGTCTTGCTTGGCAAACCGTTTCCTTATGGACTGCTGTTTTTTGTCCACCTCTCATGGTTTACTCATTCCCAAAAAAAAAAAAAAAAAAAAAAAAAAACACCCGAATTTTTTAGCACTGGGGTTGCTCATGGTTTGCTCCTCGTCTTGCTTGGTCTTCAACTGCAGATGGGTACACAACGTCAATCACTCGGCCACCTCGGCAGTAGAGTTCTGGGCTGTAGAATTATTCTGGTGAGAGCATTGCAGAGAGCGCGTAGGAGGGAGAGACGAAGACTCATCGTCGTCCAAAGGAGCGTGTGCAGATGACCTATTGTGCGAAGCGAACAGCATTGCGATTGTGTGTTGATGGTGACTAATCAGTGGAATAAGCAGTACTGTTTCCGCCGGCCCGATAGTGGTTCTATATATATAACTCCGACGAAACAGTTTGTCACAGCCCCTCGTTTGTTGTCCTCTTCTCCCTCTCTGCCTACGGTTTACCGGGCAGTTCTATTTGACGATATATATATATTATATATTATATGTATATATGTATGTATGTATATATGTATATATGTATACTGGCTTTTACTCTACGCAAGTCTACGACTTTTGTTGCTTATTCAGTCCCCGGAACACGAGCTTTCCAGCCAGCGGACAGCGAAGGCGCAGAAGGGACAAGTAAAGCGCTTCTGTAATTTCGTATGTGGA